GGGCAAGTCCTCTACTACTGAGCTGCCTTCTTCAGCCCTAAAATTTTTTTTATTTTGAGACAGGACCCACTAAGTTGTCAAGGCTGGCCTTGAACTTTCGATCTTCCAGCTATAGCCTTTCTACTATGTAAGATTATATAGGTGTGTTTTCTGTATTTTTTTGAGATAATGTCTCCCTATGTGTTGCAGGCTGGCCTTGCACTCACTTATGTAGCCCAGGCAGGCTTCAAACTCGTGGGGAATCTTCTGCTTCAGACCCCTGAATAGTGGGGTTACAAGTGAGCACCACTACATCTGGCTCCTGTTAGTTGTTTTTATAAATATAAGCACGTGTATGTGCAGTTTGGGGCAGTAATTACTATGGTGCATCCCCATTTTCCAGAGTTTATATCCTTTCATTTAGTAAAATCTTTTTTCTTTTGGTCTTTGAGACATAGTTTCATTATGCAGTGCAGGCTAGCCTTGAACTCACTTTGTGGCACAGGTAGGCCTTGAACTCATAGGGATCCCCAGCCTCTCAAGTGCTGGGATTATGGGTGAGGGCCACCATATTTGGCCTTAGTAAATTCATTTTTAAGAATTAGGGCTGCAGAAATAGTGACTTGTATATAGGCATATGGCAGGGAAAGTTTAAATGACTTTTTTGGTGGTAATGGAAACAACATAAATATCCTGTTGACATGATTATGATATTTTGGAATATAATGGAATACTGAATTTCCACCTTGAAGTATATACTATACTAAGACAGAAAGTATTTGGTTTGTTAGTGGAAGAAAATAAGTTAGAGAACAATAAATACAGTGTGAGCCTCTTGTTCCCCATTTTTGAGGGCAATGTACATTTTTATATATTCCTAGAGAAGTGACTGGATACAAATATGAAATAGTTAATAGCTATTATAAATGAATCAAAGGGCAGTGAGGAGAAAGTTTATTTTTAAAATAATTACTGAAATATAATGCACATATTGCACAGTTCACCTATTTAAAGCATATGATTCAATGGCTCAGTGTATTCACAGAATTGTGCAGTTATCATGAAGGTCAATTTGAGGACATTTTCATTGCTTCAGAAAGAAATTCCATACCACTTAGCCATCTCTTCTAGCAATAATGCTGGTACATTAAGCATCCACTAATCTCATTTCTATCTCTATGATTTTCTTGTCCTGGATAGTTTATATTTATTCAGTCATGTCATATATTGTCTTTTATGTCAGGCTTCTTTTACTCAGTTTAAGATTCATCTGTATTAATGACTGAATATCACCATCTCATTTATCACCATATCATGTATTTACTTACTTTTTAAATTTAGGGTCTCACTTTGAGTGCAGACTGGCCTTGAACTTACTGTTTACCCCAGGCTGCCCCAAACTTGTAGCAGTCCTCTTGCCTCAGCTCCGAGAGTTCTGGGATTACAATGCATGTGTCACTATGCCCAGCCACTGTTTCAGATAATTTTTTTTCAGATAATTTTTGACTGAAGTGTAATGTACTATTTTCTTTTTGATGTAGAAATAAAAGGTACTGGGGCTGGGGATTTAGCTCAGCGGCATAAGCGCCTGCCTTGCAAGCAAGCAGTCATGAGTTCGATCCCCGGTACCGGTAAAAACGAAAAAGACAAAAAAAAAAAAAAAAGAAAAAAGAAATAGAAGGTACTGTTCTGTGAAAGCCATTTAAGACTTACCATGCTAAGTGGCAAATATTTGTTCTGATATTTATGTACTTGTTAAAAAATTAGGCTTGACCGGGAAGATAGCTTTTGTGTATATATTATTGCTAAGAGTTTATAATTGGAATTTTATTTCAAGTTCATTGTTACTCTATATTGAGTACATTTCAGTTGGGACATCTAACTCTGTGATGCCTGTGCAAGTTCTAATTTTTTTCTGGAAAACTACCAAAAATACTAAATCTAAATGTGTCCTCATATTTATTGTATGAACACTGATGTATGACAGCTAAAATATTGATTTTTTAAAATTCTCTAGTAATTAAAAAAATATATTTTAATTGACATATACTAATTGTATCTATGGGGTAAAGTGTATAGTACATGTGTACAGTAAATAATGATTATATTGGGAATGACATAACTGTTGCCTCAGACATCATTTCTTTGTGTTGGAAACATTTAAAATCTACTGAGTATTTTAAGATAATTGATTAACTATAGTTGCCGTATTTTCAGCTATTTGGCTTCCATATATAATTGAAAACGTGCAGTATTTGTCTTTCTCATTTATCACACTTAATAGTGCCCTCCAGTTACATCCATGTTACTACAAGTGACAGAATTTCATTCTCCTTTATAGTGGAATAATATTCCATTGTATTTATAACTGCCCTCCCCGTTGATAGGCACCTAGGTTGATTCTGTATTTGGACAATTATGAATAGTGATTTAATAAACAGGGGAGTATGAATATATCTTTATGTTAAATATGTATTTCTATAGATGTATACTTAGTAGTGGGATGCTGGGACATATATTTAATTGGAGGCTTTTAGATAAAAGAATCAGTGCTGATAAGATAAACTTTTTATGTGAAAATTTCAGATATAAAGAAAATTCTTTAATAAATTACCTCCATTTACCTACCTCACAATCTTCAAAAGTTGCCAACTCGGGGGCTGGGTATTTAGCTCAGTGGCATAAGCACCTGCCTTGCAAGCAGGCATTCCTGAGTTCAATCCCTGGTACCGATTAAAAAAAAAAATTGCCAATTCATAGCCCATCTTGTTTCATAAGGCACTTCTCATTTCTCCTACTCTTTGGCACATCACTTCACCTGTATTAATGTCAGTGGTATATTTAAAAAAATTTTTTTAATTAAAACTGTAGCTATCGGGTCCTGACCCAGATCCCTGAGGTCCCAAATGAGTGTATGGTAGAGGTTTAAATAAATTGAGAGAAGTTATATGATTTTAGGGCTCCAGGAGGGTCAAAACACTTTAGTTGAGCTCGAGACTCCAAGGGCTAAGACAGACTTCTCTGTATCAGCCCACTTTTATTAGGACGAAGGACAAAAGGTAAGGAAACTGAGGAAACTTATTTCACTCGTAAGTATGTTCTCAAAGCACATCCATTTACCTGTAAAAATGTCTAAGTATCATTCTTTATGGCTAAATAGTATTTCATTATCCCACATTTTTTTATCCATTCCTCAGTTGATGGGTATTTAGGTCGTTTTCAAGATCTGGCTATTATCAACTATGCTGCTATCATGGATGCACAAACATCACTGTGATATGTTTTTAATTTTTTTGGGAAGATACCCAGAAAGAGAAATAGCTGGGTCGAGTGGGACCTTTAATCCTAGTTTTTTTTTTGGAATCTCTGTACTGATTTCCACAATGGTTGCACCAGTCTGCATTCCCATCAACAATGCAAGAGGATTCCTTTTTTCCCACAGCCCCTCCAGCATTTGTTATTGGTTGATTTCTTAATACTAGCCATTCTTTCTTGGTTGAGGTGAAATCTCAGTGTTGTTTTAATTTGCATCTCTCAAATGACCAGTACTGTTGAACATTTTTTCACATATTTATTTGCTGTTTGTGCTTCTTTATCTGAGAAGTGTGTGTTCATCTCAAATGCCCATCTTTGGATTGGGTGTTTAAATCTGAGAGGACTGAGTTTTTTGAGTTCTTTATAAAGTTCTCAATAATAATTTTTTATCTGAAGAACAGCTGACAAACATTTTCTCCCTCATAGTGGGTTGTCTCTTCACTCTGTTGTAGTTTCTCTTGTTGCGTGAAAACTTTTCAGTAGAATGAGATCCCATTTGTTGATTCTTTGTGCTAAGTCTTATGCACTCTGGGTTTTAGTCATAAAGTTTGCCTATACCAGTGTCTTTAGAGTTTTACCTACTCTTCTTCCAGCAGATTTAATGTTTCTGTTTTAATATTAAGATCTTTGATCCATTCTGATTTTAGCTTAGTACATGGTGAAAGATATGGGTCCAGTTTTAATCTTCAGCATGGGGAAAGCCAGTTTTTCCCACATCATTTATTAAAGAGACTATCTCTCCTCCAATGAATGTGTTTGGCACCTTTGTCAAAGATAAGGTAACTTAGTGTGTCTACAGTTATTTCTGCATTTTCTAATCTATTCCATTGATCCTCAGGTCTTTTTTTTTTTTTTTTTTTTTTTGCCAGTGCCACGCTGGTTTTATCACTGTAGCTTTATAGTGTAATTTCAAGTCAGGGATTGTGATGCCCAGGATCACCTTTGCTATTCTAGGTCTCTTCTGATTCCAGATGAATTTTAGGATTGTTTACTCTAATTCTGTAAGATACACTATTAGAATTTTGATTGGAATTGAATTGAATTTGTGTAACAGTTTTGGAAGTATGGCCATTTTCACTATATTGGTTCTTCCTACCCAAGAACACGCGATATCTCTCCATTTTCTAATATCCTAATCAGTCTCCTTTTTCAAAGTACTGTAGTTTTTGTTGTAGAGGTCTTTTACATCTCATGTTAGATTGATTCCTAAGTATTGCATTTTTTTGGATGCTATTATAAAAGGTATTGTTTTCCTGATTTCTCTCTCAGTGAGTTTGTTATCCATGTACAAGAAGGCTATTGACCAAAATTATTTCTTAGCCCATCTTTTTTTAATCAGTAGGTTCCCCTTTGTCACATCTTTACCATCCTAAAATGGTATTTTTTACTTCTTATCCCTTGTCCTTACTTTATTTTGTTTACAACACCAACTTCCTGACATTAGGTCCCCATTTGTTTTTCCTTAGAATGATAGGTAATAAAATTGAGTTTCATGACTTTTTATTCAATGTCCGAAGTCTGGATAATGCCTGGAATAGAGTAAGTATTGAATAAATATTAGGCGGAATAAATGAAATCATGTTACAGTATTTTAGATTTCTAAGCTAGGTCAGAGCGCAGAGATTTAGTTTAGATTTGAAGGAATGGTGAGAGTGATTCTGACTTGGCTTGTTATTGAATCATATGGTTCTATTTCATTCTTCCAGCCTTCCAAGAATGGTGTATGCCAAACCTCTGACTTGGGCCTTCTTAGCCTTTCCACGTATACCTGCTCTTGAGTTGTTGCTTTTATGCCATCCATACACTAAGGTATCCTACATTTTTATCTCTGGCTTCCCTCTTCTGGATTTGCTATCATATTTATTCAGTACTTTACTTGGGTGATTTCAGTTGGATATCTACTTAGCATCTCAGATATGTGGGTCTAAAGCTCCTTATTCATGTTGTTCCTTCTCTTTGTGGAAGAGAGAATCCATTTTTCTTACAGGTATCAGTAAATGAGAAATTATGGCTTCTAATTGTGTAATCAGAAAGTTGGACACTCTCTCTCTTTCTCTCTCTCTGTCTCTGTCTCTTTCTGGGTAGGGTCTTGCTGTATAATTTAGACTGGCTTTGAACTCAGTCCTCTTGCCTTAACCTCTGGATTGCTGGGATTACAAGTGTGTACTACCACACTGGGCTTCTTTATCTCACTCTTAAGTCATTAGCTCAAATCCTGTGGATAATACTTGGAAAGATACCATTCTGCAGCATTTACCGTTTCTATCACTAGGGTCTTGTAAACATTATATTATTTGGATTATTACAATAGCCTTCAAACTAGTCTTCCTCTTTCTTTGCTCCTCATTTCAACAATCTATAAACTGTTCCTCACCCAGCAGCCATAGTAAAATGATGCCACTTCTCTTCTCACAGCCTCCAACAATTCCATATGATCTGGGTCCTGTTATATCAATTTACTCACTTAACATTGCTCTTACAGAGTTTATGTTGAAATTGAAGCTTACCTCCCTAAAATACCCTTTGTTCATAGAGTTCTAGCAAACCAGAAATGTTGGCTCTGCGTGAAACTGTTGTTACACAAAGAAAAGAGCAACTTTTAAAGATGATATAGTACTCTTAATACCCTAACTGTACATTTCTAGTTGGGCATTTCCCCCCTTCCCTTTTTCTTGTTTTTAAAAATCTATGTAAAAGATATTAATACATTATAAGTTTTCAGTTTAGTGTAGAATGCTGGAATAATTAGACACTTTATTCATGTTTTGGTTATTACTAAGCCAGTTTTCCATTTTGAATAAGATAATCACATAAACATCCTGAAAAATTATCAGAGCATTATTTTGGATTTGCAGATTGATTTTAATTAATACTTTATTATTTTCATTCAAGGCCTATAATATTTTTTGTATAGGAATGTTGGTAGTTGCTACATTTTTTGTCAAATTTGTATAAATCCAGAAGCATTTATACAAAAGTATTGTCAAATTTGGGATTGACTAGTGATAATTAGCTGGATAATATTCAAATTTTTCTTGGCTGATTCCATTTGGGTTTTTAGTCCATGTATATGCAGTCCTTTTAATTAGAGTCTAACTAATTATAGAGAAAACTATTGCCAATTTTGCCTCCTTTTTTCTCTTTCAAATAAAAGATCTGAGCATAAGATAAAGAAGAATCTTGTCAGACACTGAAGAAGGGACGGGGATCTCTCCTCCTAATCTGGGCCTCGTGTCATGGTAAGTACAAGGAAATAAGAGAATTGGAGTTGAGCTCAATCCTGATAATTTAAGTGAACACTAATGACTTATTTCTATTTTTACAGGAAATCATTTTACTTTTCTCTTTTATAGAACTCTCTTGTCTCCTTTCTCCTATTATTTCCTAAAGAGTAGTAAAGCTAGAGTACTCACCATATAGAGCAGTTGAATTCTGTGATTTCAGTAATGTATCTCATTAAGTCAGCTAGTAAGTAGAATCAAGACTGATTAGCACACAGTTCTTAGATTCTTTTTAATTCCAACTTTCCTAGGAAGCTGAGCTAGTGGTCCAGCTCAGTGGTAGAGTAAATGTGTTCTGTGCACGAGGTTGTCAATTCAGTCCCCAGAATTCCAAAAATAAAAAAGTAGAAAGCAGAATATAGTAAAAATGCTTTTTTATGTTTATTATTTTAGGTATGTGTAAAATTGTGAGATAATTATGTACATATGTTTTTAATTGATAAAATTTATGCTCCTAGAATGGCTAAATTAAGGTAATTAACATGCATTATCTTACATAGCATATGCTTGTAATGAATTTATCTTTTGGACAGAGCAGTTTTCTACTTTTTCTGTTGTGTCTTTTTTTTGGTTTATTTTTGGTACCAGGGATCAAACTCACAACGTTGCGAGGGAGGCACTTGTACCGCTGAGCTGTATCTCTGGCGTCTTTGTTGCGTCTTTTTAAGGCAGTATTTTGATCTCATAATCGTATAGCTCTAAATACCTCTCTTTGAATCTTTGACTAAAAAGAGCTTATAATGAATGTAACAGTGACTTATGGGCCATTTAGGATTCATTGTAGGCAAAGATAGAACAAGCCAGTCATGTTTTTAATAAATCTTGAGGACATATAAACAGTGCTTCAAGGCTTAAAAGAGAAACAATTTTCTGTAATATTGTCCTGTTTCTAGCTTGTAATGTTCCTAGATCTAAACTATTTCATGGTGGTACACAAAGAGAAGATTGAAAATACCATGTTAATTGCAAGCATCATTAGAGACATGGTAGAAAATGCTTTTCAAAATTAAAAACAAAGTTTAAAAAAAGACCCAATTCAGAGATGTCAGAGGACAAAGAGGAGAAAGATAATTGCTTACTTCTTGAAGATGGGCCAATTTTTTCTTAGTTTGTGGGTATTATTAAAACTTTTCCAACTCCCAGATGTTGATGAACTTTTGCTGTTATTCTGCTAAACTATATTTTATTTTACTAGTTTTTCCAGAGCTTTTTAAAATTAATTAAAAAGCACTCATCTTTTAAATGGCATGTATGTCAGTTCTTATGATTAGCAAATGTTGAGGTTTATAGAAACAGTACTGAGGGTTTATTCCTCAGTGTATACCACACAGCAGTTGCATTTTCCTCCTCTTGGTGGTATAGTAATCTCTGTTGTGCCCAGTACATAAGCCTTCCTTGCCTCTTTGCTACAGATAGGCTCTGGAAAAGCTACTGTGTGTGATAGTTGGGGAGCAGCATAGCCTATGTATCTTTTTTTGTTAATGCAGCATTATAGCAGTTTTTAAAAAATTCTTATTTATAATTGTACTACCAGAACTCACAGTGGTTTGTATTCCTTTCTGACTACTCCATGTCATATTTATGTTTTATGTAGCTAGAATGATAACGTATCTATTTTGCATATTTTGCTAAATGAAGTAACCATTTCACCATGTTGATTATGGGTTCGTGATGTCCTTAATCCATAGTTTTGTGTATAAAATTCGGCAGCATTAAAATTCTGTTTGTTAAAAAAAAAACATAAACCTCTAGTCTAATTTGAGCTTAATATTTTTTTATATTTAAAGTTTATATATGAAGGATATTAAAATATAATTTTAAAGGATCTTAAATGGTATTGAAGTCTTACCTTTGAGAGGTGAGACATGGGGCTGGGGATTTAGCTCAGTGGCATAAGCACCTGCCTTGCAAGCAGGCAGTCATGAGTTCGATCCCCGGTACCGGTAATAAAGAAAAAAGACCAAAAAAACACCAAAAGACAAAAAAAAAAAAAAAAAAGAGAGGTGAGGCATTAGGACAATTTTTTAATGTTTTATTTGGGAAATTTCAAATCTTTGCAAGAGAAAAAAATGTGCAGTGAATTCTCACGTATCATTCAGGTACCATAAAAAATCATGCCTACTCTTGTGTTATCTAACCCCCACTCCCTACCTGCTACCTTTTTAGATTATTTTTACACAAATTCTAAGGGAATTGTATACATCAAAGGAAGTATATTTTTGACAGCCTTCAATACCTGTCTTAAAAGTAGTGCAGCTAGGTGTGGTGGTACATACCTGTGATCCTAGTACTTGAAAGGCTGAGACAAGAGGATGGCAAGTACAAGGCCAACCTGGGCCACATAAGGTTTCCAGCCTGAACCACGTATTGAGACCTTATCTTTGGAGTGGGGGTTGGGGAATGAATGGAACTCTTTAATCAAGTAGTATTTTTTTCAATCACCCTTCTAGGAAGTTAGTTTGTAGTCAGTCCTAATATTAATCTTTGGGAATTAAGTCAATTTTATACACAATGGGAAAGTATTTTTTAAGATTTACAGGTAACATGAGCTGAAATATATTCTTTAAAAGATTATTTATTGGATTAGACTGTAAAAATAAACAACTATTTTGTGCTCTTGCTGGCCTAATTCTCAGTTCCCTTACATTGAAAACCATTTATTCCATTTTCAGTTTCTGGTAGTGTCTTTCGTTATTTTCATATTGGACAGGATTAGAATTCTAGCAAAAATGGATAGGCAAATAAATGACTTCTCATTTTTCTTTTTCTTTTCCTCCTTTCTTCCTCCTCTTCTCCACTTTCTGTTTATCCTCTTTCTCCTCCTTCTCTCACACTTTTCCTCCTTCCCTTAAGCCCCTCCTTTTCTAGTTCTGTGCTACATTATTCCAGTTCTGAGCTGTTCAGTTCAATTCTGACCCAACAGAAAACTGGGTCAGGGAATCACTTAAGAGAAATAATGAACACCTCTATAAAATGGTTTTAAACACAATGAAAGTTTAAGTCTTATATATTTATGTGAGTTTAAAAGCTAGTTAATGTGATAGTGAGAAAGTATGTTTAAAGTGTACTTTTGTTTATAAGAATCTTTAAGTCCCTGCCCACTATATTTTTATGGCATTTCCTTCCTGTCCTCCATGGCATATGAGAAAAACTGTCCTTAAATTCGAGATTCACCACATTTTTTCTCTTTATGCCTCTTTAAGTGTAAATACTTAAAAACATAAATAAGTTTTTGGGTTTTTTAAAAACCTAGTACTTATAAAATAAAAATTGATTCCTTAAAAAAATGGACCTCCCCAAGTAACTTCCTCCCACTTCTTCACTCATTTGTGGACCTGAGAAAATGAGTGGAAAGGGACGAAGTGCAGATTGACAAAACGCTTTTGACAAATTATTTTGGTGATTATAGGACTGGAGCCATTTCCAGACCTTGGAATACCCTGAATAATTATATTACTTGCAAAGAACACCAAACTCTATAATATCAGCTTTATTAAAGTTCACCAATTTCCTTAAGTACAGTGTTTGTTTTGGCTGTATGAGAAACTTGAAAAGACTTTAAATTTTGCTGTTGAAATTATTGTCAGCTATAATTTTTTTTTTTTTTTTGAAGATAGGATCTTGTTATGTAGTCAGGCCAGACTTGAACTCAAAGCAGTCCTCTTCCCTCACTTTTCCTGAGTACTGAATTATAGGCATGAATCACCACATCCTATTGTCAGCTGTAGTTCTTAGCAATCATGGTCAATCCCTAGCAATCATAGAGAAGTGACATTAATTCACATGGTCCTTTGAAAATAAACATCTATGTTTAGATTGAAGTTTTGTAATTTTTCATACTATTTATAAAGTTATTTATAAAGTTTTTTTCTAATTTGAAGACATTTGTTTCTTTCTAAATTTTAAATACCAAATTTTTAAAAAAAGGAGGAGGGAACCATGGAAACCTACAGTCATAATAGTGCCCTTATGCAAGGGATAGGTCAGGTCAGTCAACTAGTAGAAAAAATGCTGGGCTAGTCAGTGAGGTGCTTGTTGTTAAGTTATTCAGGATGGCTTTCCCTATTATGGCTTAACAATAGGAATATAGTTTTAGAGGAAATGTGACTTTTCAAATCAAAACAACTTTAATTGGTATGTATTTAGTATTAAACTATATAATTGGTATATATTTAGTATTTAAGTACAGTCTGGAGCAGCAGTTCTGGCACTCTTTAGTGTCAGGATCTTTTTTACATTCTTAAATTATTGAGGACTGCCAAGAGGAATTGCATATGTATCTTTATGTACTGTATGGCAGATCAAAGCTGAAAAATCTTTAAAAATGTCCATAAAATTATTTGAAAATAAGAGTAACAAACCAATTATATGGTAGCATATATAGCATATTTGTTGAAAAATAACTTTTTCTCATCCAAAATAGTGTGGAGAATGTTATTGTTGGTGCACTGTTCCAATCTCAGCTTTGTTTGTTTGTTTGTTTTTTGTACTGGGACTCAAACTCATGACCTCACACTTATCAGGCAAGTGCTTGTGTCCCCAGACTATTTGTTTGTTTTTTGAGACAGAGTTTTGCTATATATATGGTTCAGGCTGGTTTTGAACTCATTATGTGGCCCAGGCCTCGTGCCTTAACCTCCTGAATATGAAGGTTACTGGGGTACACCACCACACCAGGCTACTTTCCAGATCTCTTCAATGTTTGGCTTAGATGTCAGGTAGGTTCTCATCTACTGTTGCATTCAGTTACAGTGTGTTCTTTTGTTTCAAACATAGGAGGAAAATCCAGCCTTATGTAAAATAGGAAGTTAGAAAAGGAAAGAATATTTTAAGTTTTTTCAGATAATTGTATTTTTCTTTGATACTACCCAAAACTTGACTAGTTGTAGGTTTTTTTGTTTTGCCCCCCCCCCCCCCCCCGCCCCAAGATCAAACTCATGACCTTGCACTTGCTTGCCAGGCAGGCGCTCATGCTACTGAACTAAATCCCAGGCCCTAGTGGTAGGCTTTTAAAGGTTAGTTGCAGGGTGGAATCTGAAACTGTATCAGTGAGCTTTTGGTATTCTTTATTTTAAAACTGTTGATGTATCTTGCAAGCTTGCTTGCTTGCTTGCTTCCTTCCTTCCTGGGGTAGGGAGCCAGCTGGGTTTTGAACCCAGGGTCTGAACATGCTAGGTAAGCTTTCTACCACTGAAATACATTCTGAGCCCTTATCTTCCACTTTAAATGAGTCTTTGCATGACTTTTTAATTTTGAGACAGGATTTCAGTTAAGTTGCTAGGTTGTCCAGTTTAACCTTTATGAACTTCTTGCCTTGGCCTCCCAGAGTGCTGGGTTTTCAGGCTTGTTCACTGTACTTGGCCCATGCATGATTTTTAAACATCTTACAAATGTTGACTTATAATTTATTTTTTAAAAAAGAAAATCACATTTCATAATACCACTAATTTTATAACAGTCCCCGAAGTATTTCGAAGCTGCTAAATTCATGATGGCAGATGGTAGGTCTTCCAAAGTGGTAATTTTTGCAGAAAATCTTTGTCATTGGCAGCTGATGCTGTGATTTGGAGAAAAGATCTGCCAAATTCCCTAGTCTGAATGTTCATGGTTTGTCCATCAGTTACTCTTTGAATTAAAAACAGTACTTTTAAAAATGACTAGTTCAGCATATAATTCGTATAATTGCACAAGTACTTTATTTACCTTGAGACAACCATAATATTTCAGTGTAATTTTCCTTTTTTGTTATTTCATTCTTATTGAAATTGGTGCTAATTGTTTGATTGTGCCTGCAATTTTACCCACCAGTTCTTTTTGCGTTGTTAGAACAAATATCAGCATATTAGGAAAAAAGGCAAATAGTGTTTTAATGTCATCAATGTAGTTGTGACTTCACAAGGCCCCTTTTATAAAGGCCTTAGAATCTGCACGTTAGAGAACCACATTGATAGTGTAGTATCGTTTTATGGTTATGGTTATTGTTAGATGAAATCTTGTTTATAGGTAGAACATTTTCCTCTTTGAGAAGATTTATAAAATTGTTGGAATTGTGATAAATAGCATGTACAGAAATGTTTAATAACTAGTTGAAATCACTAGTACTGTCAATTGAATATTTTAAGGATTTTGCTGTTTTAAGAAATTGTGTGTAGCACTTGCCTAGCATGCAAAAAGGTTGCATTTGATCTGTAGTGTTAGGGGTGGTGCAGTTTAAATAGATTCTGTCATAATTTATAGTCAGATTTTCTGATAGATTGCATTTCTCTTGGGCCTTTCTATACTATGAAAACTTACAATGTAAAAGATTCCTGTTATGGTTTATATCTGAAATACTCTCCAAAGCCTCATGAGTTCATAGGTGGGACTTTTTGGAGGTGACTGTTGTCTGATATTCATCATTGATTAATCCTCTGATAGGTTTAGAACTGGGTGTGACATGGAGAGGTGGGCATGATCTGGAAGGATATTTATGTGTGTGTATGTCTGTCTGTCTCTTTTTTCTTCCCTTGGTCCTCCTCTTTCTCTTTCCTCACATGCCGTAGACTATTTCTCCTCTGCCATGTGGTCCTGCTTTGGAGCCAGACAACTATGAACTGTGAGCCAAAATAAAGCTCTCCATTTTTAACTTGTAGTTGTTAGGTATTTTTTTTCTCCTGCAACAAGAAAGTAATTAAGATAATATTTTTTTTATACAAATGATAATCCGGGTGGAATTGAGACAAGCATTTTTTGCTTCTTTTGAAATTGACTTAACAGAAACAGACCATTTTGTAATGTAAGGTAAACTAGGGATAATGGTTCATATGATTTTAGTTTGGGATTTTTTTTTTTTTTTAAAGACAGGATCTTGCTATGTAGTTCAGCCTGGCCTTAAATTCTCGGTGATCCTCCTGCCTCAGGCTCCCAAATGCTGGAGTTACAGGCATGTACCATCATGCCTGACTCATTTTATTCTCAAGTAATTGAATGTACCTCTCAAAAATAAGAATTTGAGATTATAATTTAAAGAGGACAACACTATTTCAGTTTCTCTTTAGAGTGATTGTACTAATAACCTACTGTGCCCAGCAGAGATGGTATAATGTCTGATTTTTTTTTTTTTTACATTAATGTAGTCTCAGATTAGAGTAACCTATTTTAGTTAGCTTTTCATTCCTGTAACAATACCTGAGGTCACTTTAAAAGGAGGAGAAGTTTATTCTGTCTCAGTTTTAAGAGATTTTAGTGCATTGTTGGTTGAGTTGTTTTGGGGCCTTTGGACTGAGAGTGCTTCAGAATGGAAACAAGTGGCAGAGGAAGCTTCTTACCTCAGGAAGACTAGGAAGCAAAGAAAAAGGGGCTCCGCTCCTAATATCTTCTCTAAAGGAAGCTCCCAGTGACCTATCTCCTCCTTCCTGTTAGGCCTGCCACCTCCCCAGTAGTGCCACATACTGGCAGCCAATCCTTTAACACAGAGGGTCACAGGGTGACACATAACATCTAATATAATGGATGGAACACTTTTGAAATGTTGTTTGCTTGTTTGCTTTTCTGCCTGTTTGCCTTTGTCATTGGATTTCTGTTGGGATTATATGAGTAAACATGGCAGAAAAAGTGAATCTGGATCACTAGAAATCTTATAGTTAAAAATTTCTGGATTTTTCCAGGATGAAGAGACTCGGCACAGTCTTGAATGCATCCAGGCCAATCAGATCTTTCCCAGGAAGCAGCTGATTAGGGAGGATGAGAATCTGCAGGTAATTAAGGATACTTTCAGTTGTATCATATAATGTTTAGCATCATAGTAATGATTTAACAAAGCTAATGAGTTGAAGTGATGCCTCATAAAATATGTATTTTTTTCTTATAGTAGACACATAAAATGTGACTTGGAAGACATCTCTCATTTTAGCAAAGCTTATTTTCTGAGAATTACTTTTTGAGATGATTTTCTCTGTCATTGTTTTAGTGGTCCAGAATTTTCATAATTAGGTGTATTTGAATTAAATGGGTGTAAATCTTTAGGTCTCTTACTCATTTGCTTTAAACTTGAGTGACCATCCATTCTCCCTGGCCCATGTTTGAAACCTGCTTTACTCCTTCAAAGCTCTGAAGGATTTCTTCTTCCTTTTGAAGGTTCCTTTCCTTGAGCTTCATGGAGAGAGCACAGAGTATGTGGGCCGTGCAGAGGATGCCATCATTGCCCTTTCTAATTATAGACTTCACATCAAATTCAAGGAGTCTCTTGTTAATGTAAGTAATTATTAACTAGTCTCCTTTTAGGTAACTTGAGAAAGAAGTTGAAAAACAGTAATGTTCTCAAGGAGAAGAGAGTCATACAGAACTGGGTGTGTGAAAGCACTGTGTGCTCTACTTTTCTCTCAATTTAACACAACATTCGATTAGTAAGCAGATCTTATGCTTTATTTAAAATGATTCCCTTAGTTGTCAGCTGAGAGGTTTATTGTTTAACACTGAATGCTCTGTACTAGATCTTGCTGTATTGGTTTACAAAAGTACAATGACTGAATAAGCTTTTATTCCTTAATCTGTGGTGGTTTCTAGCTGCTTAATTTGAGATAATTTTCTGTGTCTCGGTGTCAAATGATGAGATGTTCTTTGAGCTTACAGCAAACTCTCATTATAGGATGAAGTTACTCTATTGGCTTGTAAGTGGTATAAGTGTAGATGTTAAGTAAAATGCTTATTTGCATAATGGACTATATATTACTGAAGAAAGGGAAGGCTCTCAATTCTCTAGGGTACTTTTGCCCCTTTTCATTTATAAGAGCCTCTCCATGAACTGATTCTTCCAGGGCATTGCCATCATTAATGTCTTAAATGAAACCTATAAGGGCTCTAAAGTTCATGTACTTTCACTTAACAAATAACCATCATCATTTCTTGCTTTTCAGTGTTATGCTTTCTGTACCTCAGAGCTAGCATAGAGAAATGTGTTATGGCACCTTAAAAAGAGTTCAGGACTATCCTTCCATCTGATAGGTTATTTTGGGGTTTATTTGGGGTTTCTTTAAAATCTGTCACATTCATTCATCTTGCCAGTTCGAAAGTTACCTCTTCCTGAAGTCTCATTCTTTGATTTATAATCCAGTGGCTACATTTGCTTTGTAGTTGATATTTATAATTTACTTATTGTTACTATTTGTAGTTAAACATTTATGTTTTGGAGCTGTTTTAGTCTGAATTCCTTCCTCTCAATGAACTCGTCCTTCCAGAGCACTACTATCATCTCACTTTTGCACCCTCTACCTTGTCTCTTCCTACCCAGAGACCTTCTGTTCATCTATCACAACTCAGCTTAGTTGATAATTTCATCTGTGAACTTGTACTCAGTCCTAGTTCCCTCTCTGATGGTTAATTAGACTCACATGGTTTCTTCTGTATTTTAAACATATTTTTCCAGCATTTACTAGACATGTAACTTTTTGCTTACTCATCTTTGTATCTTCAGAATCTAGCATGTCTCCTGATTATCATGCTGTCCAATAAATATTAAGTGAATTGAAGTTAATGTGGATTTGAAGTAAATATTAGACCATTTTCTATGTTTTGAATTTAAAGTACATTCATTAAAACAATGTATAAATAGACCTGTGTCATCATTTGTCTCTAACAGTATCTGTACAAGTAGGTTATTATCTGTGTTCTTTTTTGACCCATTTCCTCAACATAAAATGTGTCTTCTTGAATTTGTAACCCTCTAAAGCTTGGAGCCTACATGTCACTTAAAAACCTCAAATAATGGCTTTCCCTAGGTGGGTGGGGCAGGAGAAAGAGAGAGATAGTGCATAAATATTTTGGTATTGTGGTGATTATAAACATTTCATACTACAATAGACTGATGTTTCTCCATACCAGTACCTTAATCTTGATACACTTAGTACTAAGGTTCTGTGTTACTTTTCTCTTTACTGAGATAAAAATACCCAACATCAAAAGTTAAAGGAGGATTTATTTAGCTCACATTTGTAGAAGTTTCAGTCTATCATTGGCTAGCTTCAGTTAGGATGACATGGTGGATCTTCTGGTAGCAAAACAACAAGGGACAAGACCAGCCTCTTTCTGTCTAATATTGTATTCAGGCTACTAGTATTAAGGCTATACTAAACCAGTGTACTGATTTAGTGATCAGTGTCCTTAATCCTAACACTGTACCATGAACCAGTCACACACTGCATTCAGCCACCTCTGAAAAAGTCCCACCTATAACCATATGAAGCTTTAAGAGGACATCCAAAACACAAACTATAGCAGGTTCCTAAAATCTGGGTTACTCCAGAAGATAATGGCCCTTCCTGCATTAGGTCTTGGATGGAGACCAGAGTATTGGTATTGATGTTGCCCCTAATTTCCACTCCTCTTCCTCCCTCTGTCAGATAAGTTGTTCAGTAAAATACGTGAGATCAGTAGGACCCCTTTCCTGCTTCTCTCATCATATTCAGCACAGTACATGAGGTGCCAAAGACCCCTGATAGAGGTTATTATTATCTAAATCAAACACATTTAAACTCAATCAGAACTCAAATGTGCCATCTCTGTTAATGGCGTGCCCCACTTTGTGTCATTTAGCATGTTAGAAAGTGACTTACCATCATTTTAAACAGCTTGCTGATAGCATGTATTTTGTTTTAATTTCACAGCACATTGAGTAAAATGTGTCTGTAGGATTAGATAACCATAAACACCATTAGTCTATACACATTGAGTCATTATTCAAGTTTCAGAATAAAGAACCTCTGTACAGGTGGAGTTCATTTGTAGCGTTTAAGGAATGAATTGCTCTGTTCTGTTTCCCAAACTATATTTTACACACACACACACACACACACACACACACACACACACACACACACAGAGCTATATTTCTTGAAGCTTAGATAATTTATAAATAAGTAACTGTTCAACTGGAGTTTATGAAAGTTTAAAATAATTTTTGTTGTATAATTCAATAGACTGCTTCTCCCTCTACTGCTTCTGAAATCCCAGTAAGTAGCATGAGAGTCCGAAGTGGTTGCCGCACCTGTGCTTGGAACAAATTGGTTTTGTGTGTCAGATGTTCACCTTGAAAATCAATAAAATATATCCTTTCTGCATGAGCCTGTTCCCTGTCACCAAAGTTCTAGTAGTGAGCTCTGATGATATCAATTTGTGGGGTAAAGATGAAGCCTCAGTTTATATAAGCAGTGGAATAATGACCTTTAAAAACTGTAGGCCAAACTGTAATAACAATTATAGAACCAACATTAGTGTTTAAGAGGATGTTAAAATATCTGTTTCTAGGCTGACCTGTCAGTGCCTGTTGGGAAAAAGTATAGAAATACAGCAGCTGGAAACACCTCTCTTTAGTATTTCTTTGCATTTTCCATTATCCAGCAACCACTTTTATTTCCTAAGCACCAGAGGGAGGAATTTTCTAGCATTTTTGTACCAATGCAAGCTTCTGAAACAAGTACCAAGGGAAATACCTTTTTTAGGTCCAGAGTAAACAGAGTTTGTTTTGTTTTGGTTTCAGGAATTGCAGGGTGTTGGTCTTTATTTTATGAAAATTTTCCTCCTCTGACTGGTCTTTAAACAAAATAATTTAATGAAATTCTGTAGTTTATTACAGATTTTAGGTTCAAAGTCATTACTTATATTTTTATTCATACTACCATTTTTACTTCAGATGTGTACATGGGGTTAGTAATGACTAATACGTCCTGTTCAGTCAATTAAAATGAATGGTTGTTTCTTGCGCTTTAAAGTAATGTACATGCACACACAGCCAGAATGAAGTAAGGAGGTAAATATAGCAAAATATGATACTAGATTGCTGTGTAATGTGACAGTATTGTGGATCTTTAACACATTTGCATGTCTTATTAAGTTTTAAACTGCTGTTCTTTGCTTTTTTGGTTTGATGCTCATGGGTTTTGGTATTTGGGATGTAGCTTTTGGCCTTTTGAAGACTTGATTAACAGCATTTAGTGTGTTTGATGCATTGTTTGAACATGAATTTGATGGAGTTTGTAATAGAATTAGCACTGTAATGAGAGAGAATTAGCTAGAAGAAAAGGAGAAAGAAATTGAAATGTTCATGATGGAGCCATAATTTTTATGTCTTAAAAATTGGTGGCTCTGATTTGAATTTGATTGTTCACACTGGCTTGAATCACCCATAGTACATGGATGACTGTCCTATCAGGTGGCTTATGCTACTTTTTAGGAGATCTTTGATTACATTAATATGAAGAAAAATGTTGATTTAGCAGACCAGATTCATCATGTTACAGTTCCTTAAGGAAACCATCAAAATGGTATAAATTGTTATATAGCTAATTTATGGTACAGCAATTGTAAATGCGTATTATACATACCAGTAGTGGGGTACTTGTACGATTTCCATGTTAAAATTTAGAGAATTGGGCTGGGATTTTAGCTCAGCGGCATAAGTACCTGCCTTGCAAGCAGGCGGTCGTGAGTTCGATCCCCGGTACTGATAAAAAGGAAAAAGAAAAAAAAAATTTAGAGAATTATTGATAAACTATTCATGGGTATAAATAAATTTAATTAAATAAATTTTTTTGATTATTATAATGCTTAATTGATATGAATAATATTAAAATTTATATTTGGCAGTAATTTTTTAACTTCAAGCAATTAATTTGTTTTATTTATAGAGTTTTTATTTTATTAGTAAAAAGAGTTATAAAGGTGATTTAGATCTGCTTGTACCACCAATGCTTCAAGCAGACAGGAGTGTGTTAAAGGGTGGGGTGGAGATGAGGTACTGAATCTATGGGCTGGTGATGAGAAAGTAACTTCAGATTTCTTCTACAGACAGAATTGCCTCCAATGATCTTTGTTTAAATTTTAATTTTCTTATGTCTGGTGGAGAGGCCACTTCTTTTGTTAAAGATAATCAAAGTATACAGACAAGAAGGATGATCTTAGAGGAACAAATGCAATATATATATATGGTGGAAGGATCCCAGGCTAGAGGGCAGATAAAAATTCTGGCCTAGACTTTGGTGTTAGTTTGTAGGGTACCTGTTTAACCTCCCTGAGCTAGGAGATAGTCTGGCATTAATCTTTATCTTTTGCTGATGAGGTTGGTTATTGAGTATACCTTATAGAAATAGTGACAGGTCTTTTTCATACGTGAGGAAAGTTGAAAAAGCTAGATCAGAGGATAGGCCTTAAAGTAGAAAAATTTAGTTATTTTTTGGTTAGATGTATGCAGGTGGGGGAGGAAGCTTGCTCTACCTTTTTGAAAAGATGAGGCAGTCTGTGGAGGAAGTACTTGAAGGGGAAGCAGAATCGAGAAGTGAAAAGATATAAATTGGGTTTCTCTTTGAAGTGTCATTATTTTTGCTATACATTGAACTTCCCTGCATGTGATAATCTGCATGAGGATTAAAATTTGTTGTTCTTCATATCTGTGACTAAGTGTATATATATAATTGTTTTTGTTGACTTCCTAGTATCTTCAGTCTGATTTAAATGAGTAGAACCAACATTTTGTTCTTAAAAATGTGATGCAAATTTGCTTATTGAATGGACTTTAGTTAGCAGATACAGTGGTACCTGGGTTCACAAACAATTCTTTCCATGATTCACGTTGCAGACTGAATTGGACAAGAACCAAATAAAATTCAGTGGTTAGGTTCAGTGTTGACCTTACAGGGAAATTTGATTGGATTCTTATCTAGTTTGGTTTGCTACCAGAATCATGGAAAGAATTAAGTTTGTGAACTGATGTACCACTGTAATTTGCATGCCCTGGAGTGTTTTTTGTTATTATTCTGGAAATTCTTGTAAGAGCCTTTGGGCTTTGGTCTAGTAATAGTGATATAAAACTTACATAGACTTTTGTGGCAAAGTTGCACATTGTGACTGCTAATAAATAGACTTATTGGTTTTCATCTTTTCTAGCAGTAAGAAAGGCAGTTGAAGGGAACCTGGGATGCAAATGAGTGCTGGCAGAGCAACCACTCCAGTTGGATTTGTAAAACTCACTCTCACTTCACCCCTAGACTTTTCTCAGGCCCTGTACACAAATTACTAAATTGTGACCATTTGAGATTCAAAAAGCACAAACTGGGTGGCATTTAATAAGGCAGACTGTTAACCTAAGGAAACCAATAAACAGGTGGATCTTTAACTGGTAAAATTTTAGAAAAGCAAGACTAGAATTCAGGCTTTTTAGTTGCTAGTCTGGTAGTTCCTAGGCATGGGATTGAGGGCAGCCAGTTATAATACATTTTAAAAATAAAGCAGTGAGAGTCTACTGTAGGACACCCAAAGGACTGGCCTCAGAACAAATCAGTGTCATCTTCTAATCTGTTTTAATCTCTATTCCTTCTTTATAATTATATTACAGTAACATCTCTATCAACACCCAACCCCTCAACCTACTCCCAGCCCCCATGCAACAGATCTATCTCAAAAGAATTTTTAGGCTCATCAGCTGCATTTTAGAGTTAAGGACTTTTAAAAACAGAGAACCAAAGGTTTTTTTCTTGCAGAACACAAGCAAGGTTTCTTAGTCTTTTTTGTAACTACCAATCCTCTTATAATTGCAGAGGACGTTTTCTAGATTATAGAGAGAAGCAAGAAGCCTTTAACCGTGAAGATATTTTACTTTTTTCTCTTCTTTAATCCCTGTCCCAATTTCTGTTTGTGTCAAACTTCCAGCACTGGCTTATTTCTGATCTCCATATCCTGGTTTTGAGAATTCTCTGTCGACTCTGGCAGCTTGGGGGGGGTGGTGGTGGCGGAGCAGAGTTTATAGGAAGCCTGTTTCTGAAACTGGCTCAACTGACAGTGGGCCACCCTGTGCAGGCAGCCTTCTTGTTTCTGTCTGCATTGGAGGAAATCTCCATACTAATTCTCATGTTAAACAGAACTGTTGGAATGCTACTTGCAAGTCTCAGAGCTACATTTTGGCAGGGCTTAATATATTGTATTCATCCTTCTTGTAAGGGATGAATATCCACTTAATCATTTATCAGGATCTTTTAAGGTTTGGACATTGCTTTTTGAAGCTAGAGGTGATTTCAGGAACCAGGGGAGGGAGGGAAGACCTGTCAACCTAAGAATTTGTACCCTCTTCAGATCCCCTCCCTAACAGTCTTCCTTATCAGTTCTCTTTCCACTATTATATAGAGTCCTGTGTTTAGTAGAGTCTGGTGACCAGATTGACAGGGCAGGAATCATTCAAGCCCACTCAGACTTCAAGCCATGTTTGGTGACTGGTCTTTGAAGCTAGTTAAATTACCTAGTTTTAGGGTCTTTGATTATTGTATGACATTTTCCCTTCCTCCTGATAATATGTGGATCTGTTTTTCTGAGCACAGATCCTGCCTGCCATAATCTTTTCTTTGCAGTGCATTGGCAATTTAGGTTTCCTTCAATTTAAGAGCCTCCTTTGCTGATGCTAAGTCCTAAGTTCACTCTGTCATTTGGTATAACCAACAAATAGAGTCCCATTTGCACTCAGATATTTAGTCCTTTTCGGTAAGCAAGGAAGGATTATTATTCTGCTACTCTTCATCTTTTGTGTCAGTATATATTCTAGCTAGCTATAGCATTTAAAAGTAAAACTTTGAGAAATCAGCTTACAAACATAATGCTAGAGAAATGTATTCCACTCTTCTTCCAGAGGTGATGCTTCTTTGTTGTCTTCATGTATGCCATGACTTGAGGTTACTGATAAGTGAGGGAAGCTCCAATTCATTCTGTAGTAAATCACTTGAGTGCTTAATCCAGCTAAATTTGTAGTTCTGTTTCTTTACCCTTAGAGCTTTCTAGTCAGTCTTGTTGGACACATTGAAGAACTGCAAGGTCTGTGCCTTTTTGACTAAGACTTCTTTTTTAATTGTAGGTTCCATTACAGCTTATAGAAAGTGTTGAATGTCGAGATATATTTCAACTTCATTTGACTTGCAAAGACTGCAAAGTTATCAGGTATGTGGTATGTTTGTGCAGCTGCTTTGTGAAAAACATTTTTAAAAGAATGGATACATGATTCAGAAACTCAGCAAAATACTTAGCTTTGTTAAGAATAATTCTTAAGTTAGTTAGTGCCTGAAATATTTTACCTTTAGGATATTTTACATGTTGATGGATGCTTTTTCTTTTTTTATTTGAAAATAATCAAATCTTTAAAACATATAAGAATAGTACACTACTATTCCATTTACTAAGTCACCCATAGTTAACACTTTCTCTCAATTTGCTTTATCATTTGCAGAGTCCTTCACTATGTGAGTGTGTGTTTGTTTGTGTATTAGAAGGAGAAAATTTTTTTTCCAAAGCAATTTGAGAGTAAATTACAGAAGTATGGCTGTTTAACTCCAAAATACTTTGTGTGCTTCTAAAAATAAAGAATTTTTGTACATGACCATGACATCATTATCAACTTCACAGTTTTATATCAATATATTTTATCTAGTTTACTATGAATGTTTAAATTTTGATGGTTGACCTAATGATTGTTGTTTATGGCATTCTCCCCTACCTTTACCTCAATGACTACAGGATTCAGTCCAGGTCAGGTAATACATGTAACTTCATGACTTGAGAGCCTTCTTTAATGTGCAACATTTTCCTTAGCCTTTCTTTGTCTTTTATGACTTTTATATTTCAAAGAATATGTCTTTTGTTCTAATAGAATTTGTTTCTCATTTTGTATTTTTCCAGCATTTTCTCAAAATTAAATTGAGATTTCTTAGCTGGAATACTGAATACATGGCAATGTGCCTTTTTCAGGATATTATATGGTAGTATTACATCCAGAGGTAGACAGTCCACTTGTCCCTCAGTGATGAATTTTGATTACTTAGTCAAGATGTCACTTGATTTTTGTATAATTTCTGTAGTTCCTAATACTTTAAGAAAATGCAGATATCTTATTTTGCATCAGAATTTCTCCTTAGGTTAGCATTCTTAATGATTTTTATTTGATCTCACTGTAGTGATTGCAAAATGATACCTTTTAAACTCTTCAGATTTTATTCCTTTGATCCATTTGTTGGCGTACCAGTAAATATTGTGTGCTGGCATATTGATGAGCCACATTGACTGAGACAAGAGAGAGGTTTAAGTGACTTTCTTAGTTGTTTTTGTTGTTGTTGTTGTTACTGTTTTGGTACCAGAAATCAAACTTAGGACCTTGCACTTGCAGAACTTGCCAAGCAGGTTCTGTGCTGCTAAGCTACATTTCTGGGCCTAGTGACCTTCTTAGTTTTAAGGTGAATGTATAAATTGCTTTTGAGCCAGAGTTACTTCTTCAGTGAAGCAGTTGTGGTAGCACACACCTATAATCCCAGTATTCTAGAAAATTGAGGCAGGTGAATCTCAGATTTGAGCACCCATACACACCACCACTTAGCAACTTAGCAAGACTTGTCTCTCAAAATTTGAGGGAAAAAGGAGATGGGGGCTAGGAATGTAGGTCAGTGAAAAAATCCTGGGTTCAGTTCCCGGTAGAGCCAAAAAAAACCAACATCCTCTACACACACACACACATACACACACGCATGCACGTAGGACTCCCTAACTGGATAAAAATAGTGTGGTGGTTCATTTTTTAGTTTGGCCTACCATATCACAATAAGATAAAAAGGACTTTGTAAACCTTTTGAGAAGGATAACCATAAAACTGAAATATAATGAAATCTCACCCCTGAAAGAGGGTAGCTACCCATTTTTCTTTAATTGTCATTAATCTCCTAAGAGGTTTCATTAAATTAAAAGAATAGATTTCATGTATGTCAGGTTCCTTTTGATGTTTATACTGTTGACTAAAGTTTGTTGGGCCCATTTTTATTATAAATGGTATTACATATGTGAAATACTGCTTGTAATGTGTTCTCTATTGTAGTTACCCACTTCACTATGAATAGAGTCTTGTTTTGTTTTTGTTTTTGGTGCTGGGGATTGAAATCACGACCTCGTGTTTGCCAAGCAGGCACTTTAAATCCCCAGCCCTGAATACAGTATCTTGAAATGGTGACTTTCCTTAGATTTCACAGTCAAGTATTATCTGATTGCATTCCTATTTGTTTGGCTTTGCAAAGGTGTCAGTTCTCAACGTTTGAGCAGTGTCAAGATTGGCTCAAGAGGCTGAACAATGCAATTCGACCACCTGCTAAAATAGAAGATCTCTTTTCATTTGCATACCATGCTTGGTGCATGGAGGTCTACGCCAGTGAAAAAGAACAACATGGAGACCTGTGCAGACCAGGTAAGGCTTTTCTAAAATATGTAGATGACCAGGAGTTTTATCAAGCTAAGCTGAAGGTCAAGGTATACTTAACATGAAGTGAAATGCTTTGGCCTTCATATATTCAATCAATATATATTTTATGGAGTGCCTAGCATATGCCCATTCTCCTAAATGTAATAGAGCATGTTTTCTACCTTCTAGAGGAAAGGAAGAATACTGGATTTGGTATCACATCCTGCTGGAATTAAAGGCAACTCTAAAAAGATTCATAGATATTATAAAATCCTGAATGGAAGGAAACTGCAAGTTTTGTGTACATGTTTGAGAAAACTGCATTAAAAGTGACTGTTGTGTAGATTTTGCAAGTTGAATGGGGATAAATTGATTAAAAAATGGGGAAGAGAACGTTAGACAATAAATGGCATTGATAGAGGTATGCAGGTGTGAGGACAGAGAATAGCAAAATGCAAAATGGCCTCTTCTATCACATTTGTTTTAAATCATAGGTAACCTGTGGTCACTGCTTTTTGCCTATAGATAAAGAAACATTTAGAGAGGCCAAGTGCCTTCCTCAGCTTCAATTAGAGACACTGAGCGTGTACTGAAATCTAAATTTCCTGACTCCTCACATTGTCTTTCTCCTCTTCAGTATCTTTCTTCTTCTGAAATGGCTGACCAAGATCATGTTATTTCATTGTATATAGTTTTCTATAAACTTTATGTTGCCATAAATAGATTTTTGCTTGTCCATAACTGGCTTTTCAGTATGTCAAGCTTAGAAGTTGTGAGCCTCGTATGAATATTTACTGTATAGACTCTGTGTGTATGTGTGTGTGTGTTACTGAGGATTGTACCCAGGAGCTTGTGCATAATAGCAGGCACTGTACTGCTGAGCTAATTTCCTAGCCCTTTTTGAGTTATCGTCACACTGCACTGCCCATGGTGGCCTTGAACATGTGATCATCCTGCCTCAGCAGATTTTTGCCTCAAATTTTTAATTTTAATCCAGTGTCTCTAGTCTAAGTCAGTCCTTAGTCGTTTTAAACATTTAAAGCTAATCTAGCTATGTGCGTAATTGGTTTATTCCCTGCTCATCACTGATTAAAGCTTTTGGCTCAGATTATTTTGTTTATTTAATATAATACTTATGTTTTAAGTATTTTATTCAAAAAGATGCTCTGATGAATACTTTTGTTTGGTCTGCATGATCTTGTCAAATAGGGTAGGCCAGTTTTAGGAACAAAACAAAGAGAGGCTCAGGCTCAGGGGTAAAGACTATTATTAAGACCCAATGCTACTTATTAAAAAGAAAAATGAATTTAAGTCCAACCCTCACTTACTGAGAGTCAGGTCTGTGGGGTTCTGTGGATACAGAGCCTGAAGAATGGAGGAATCTGCTTTGTTGGAGCTTTAGGAAAAGTCTCAGAACCCAAACTTCTTCCAAGCCCGTCCCAGTGAGTAAAATCCATAGTCATCCACTAGAGACCACATCAACCTTGAAAGTTTATGTGAGGGTACTTAAACCATCTCTCACTTTACTCTTAACATCTTTTATTGACATGCCATTATATTTTGAGGGTTTTTTTTCCCCCAGTTTACAGCTGTTTTAAAATTTTGGGTTTTTTTAAATGATAAGTTACAGGCTAGGAAGTGTACAAATCTTACGTATTTGCAGTTTTTTTAAACTAAAGCAACCGAAATGTGTTTATTTAATAATATGCATTGCAAAAGTTCAACCAGAGACTTACTTAAAAAACAAATAAAACAAAACAACACCACAGCTCAAGATAAAATGTCCTACACAGAAATCAAGAAAAGGACAGACTGAAGAAATAAAAAAGACACCACAAGGTTAGGCTGGTGAGCCTGGGTCAGGGCTCTTGGCTAGAGACTTGCTTTGAGTGGGTTTCTTGCAGGTACTTCTTAAAAGCTGTGCGGTTTTTTCAAAACTCTGCAGCATGTGTGTTCAAAGGACTATCAATGTTGGTTTCTCCTACCAGGCTCTGGATAGACAGGATAGTCCTCATGTTGTACAAGGCGGACCATTTGTCCTGGACATCCAGGCAGATGTTGCCCTGGGTGTCCACATTGGGTTGGTAGCAGGGAGTAAGCAACTTCACTGTGGATGTGTTGTAAGGGTAGCCACTGGGGGACTCCAGGGAGAGAGAGCTTGTACTGCAGGTCTTCATACTCTGTATCAGGTGCTCCATGGATGGTCCCTATCCTTTTGAAAAGGTTGTCTGACTCAGGGAAGGCAGGAATTAGTGGGTTCTGTCCTAGATCCTCGATCTCCAAACAAGTGTACGATGGAGGTTAAATAAAAAGAGACAAATTGTATGATTTTTAGGGCTCCAGGAGGGTCAAAACCCTTTAATTAAGCTCAAGGCTTCGAGGGTAAAAGCAAAGGAGTCTGAATCAGTCCACTTATATTAGCACCAAGGACAAAGGACGGAGAAACTAAGTAAAGTGCAGGCAATGAGCAGGACCTTGGGAGTCACGTCAAGGATGTCTCCAAGTCGTGAATCAAGTTAATTTAGTAGCACTGTCTTATTGTGAAGACATGGTAGAAGTGAGACTGTAGGAGTAATCTTTGTAGCTACAGACTCTACCTTATTGATTGAGGTTGGATCCAGAGTGTCCGCAGCTGTGACCTTATCCCCAGCTGTGACCTTATGTTGCCCTTTGAGGTATCTCTGGTCTCACAGGCCACTACCGGCCTCAGCCAGGACCCAGTGATTCATAGAGGTTCACTTACTATGAATCAGCTCCCGTCGCCAGGCAAGGGGCCTAGGCCTAGGACAGATTCACAGATAAACATAGAAAGCCAATTAGTGAAATTTAAATCCTGCTCAGAGCAGCTTCATAGTGGTCTCCAATAGAAATTCCTTTGTCACCAGACATTATGAGGGTCATCAGCTCCTTTTTTATGTGCAGCAGTTCGGAGAGTCCATTAGGACAGTGCTGGCACAGAGATAGGAACTTGGAGAACAGCACTGCAACTGCAAGCTTGCAGAGTTTTTAGTGATTGCATCTTATATATTTTTTAGTTTCTACCATTTCCTCGAAGAATTAACTTAAGGATTGCATCCTGTTGCATTATTATATGAGAACTCTGATTTATTTTAAGATCTCTAACTCCAAGAAGTAGTCCCCAGTTTTGGTTTGCTAGCCAGAGATGAAAAGCTCTCATCTCTTTTTTTGGTTTTGTTTTGTTTTGTTTTGTTTCGTGTTAGTACCAGGAATCAAACTCACAATATGCTTGCTGCTATGATAAACCCCTGACCCAAAAAGCTTTCATCTTTTTATGGGGTGTTATTTTGTTGATAATTTTAGTTGTTTCTTTTGTATTTAAACCAACTCTTAGGATATTACTAAGATTTACCATGTGAAAGCTGTACTCCTATTTATAAGTGAGTTTGTCCTAAGGAAGAGGGTCCTGAGGTCCTTCTTTACCTAATGACATCTGGTATTCTTTGGCCATCAGGCTATGGAGATAGCCACAATGTCCAGTGGTTTTTCAGGGGCAGCTGTATGTGTGTGTGTGTGTGTGTGAGTGTGTGTGTGTATGTGTATGTATGTACATACCAAATAAAACTCAAGACCATGCACTTGCCAGGCAGGCCCTGTGCTGCTGAGCTATATCCTTGGCCTCTAGGGGCAGTTTTTAAAGCAATTTTAAATTTTATTAATTGATTAATTGATTGAGGCAAGGTCTTGCTATGTATTCAGGCTGTGCTTGAACTCACTACATAGCCCTGTCTAGCTTCAAACTCCAGGTGATCTTCTTGCCTTAACCTTACAAGTGCTGAGATTATAGGCATGCAATGATGCCTGGCTTTTTCAGGGCTTCTGATATCTGGGGACATGGAAAGGATAAAGTACTTACTTTGAAATTTAAAAACTTGGATTTCAAATCTATACTTTTTAATTGAAAATAATGCTAGGCAAGCCATTTATCCTTTCTCTGCCTTGGTTTCCTTTGTTCTTCAGGCTGGGACATTCATATTCTTCCTCCCCAAACTGATCCAAGATCTTGAAGATCAAATATAATCTAATGTGTTGATACATAGTGCAGAGTTCAGTTCAGCAAATATTTGAATGTTTCCTATGGCCATGCTTATGAAAACTCTTTGGAAATTATACAACTAGAGATAATGTTACCACAATTGATTGGTTGGAAATTCTCTATGATGAAGGGTTGCATTTTGTTTCTTCCCAAAATACACAGTCCACACTAAAGGAAACTTGCCTCTACTCACATGAAATCTTACTTGTATTTTAGCGACCTTTTTGGAATGTGTGTATATATATGTGTGACTTTTCCCTTTTATTTTCAGTGTGGCATATAGAGGAAAAACTTGATTTTAACAAAACGAAACAAAATACTGCCATTAATTTTTAAAGCCAGTTAACCTAGTTCTTCTGTCTCTCCTCTGTTGTGTTGAGTGTTATTGATAGCTTTAGATAACTCATCAAATATTAGCATTCCTAACAACCACATTTTAGAAATCATCTGAAGGGTGAGACAACCCTTGAAATATTTTAGGATGATGTCCTTGTATATTCTGCTCTCGTATATGGATCACAAGCATAGATTCTGAGTAGAAATTATTTTAGTCTAAAGTTACTGATAATTTTGTTTTTGTTTTTAAATTTTGTTTTAACTTTAAATGATATACCTTGATGTCTCCTTGCCCCTACGCCATTCCCGCCACCTTTTTCAAACTCCTTCCCCTTCCCCATTCACAAAGTTTGGTTCTCATCCTTATTTCCTTTTGAACAGTTTCTTCCTATTTCACATTATCTGTTGTACACTTATGTTCTTACTTATATTTTCAGTTTCTCACATCAGAGAGAGAATGTGATGTTTACGTGTGTGTCCGACTTATTTTACTTATGATTATGGTCTCAAGGTCCAACCGTTTAGCTATAAATGTCTCAATTTTATTTTTCTTTATGGGTGAGTAATACTCCATTATATATACACACTAAACCCATATATTTTTTATCCTTTCATT